TGGCTCCACACTTTCAGTACCCTCTTGCCCCAGCCAGCCCCTCTACTGCCCAAGGCCACCACCCGGAGCTTGGAGCTGACCCCCTGTACCTCCAGCTCTGGCAGAAACTGCTCTGCTCTGTCTCAGATTGCTGCTGTCCCAGGCATATATCTAGACTCTGTGCCCAGGAGAGGTTTACTCCGGCTCAAACTGCTCTGGAGTTAATTGCTTCAAATTAATTGCACATGGCCAAAAACACCACTCATGCAACTGGAAAACTGCCATTTTAGCATATAAAGGGTAATAGAATTTAGCTATGGTCCTTTAGTTTAAATAGCTCTTCTACCCCTATCTTTTATCCCCTTACCATATATTTATTTTTTTTAAATCATATCCCTTCTCTTACTCATCTTGGTAGAACATATAAACCATATTCTTTTAGTTTTCTTTTGTATGATATAATTGGCATTCAATTGAGCAAGCTAGTAGCCCTTCTCCGTACTCATTCCTATTTGAATTTTTAAACCAATAGTTTTTTCTTGTGTCAATCTTTTATGGAAAACTCAAAAAAAATTTTAGTTAATGTGTTAAAAATCCATTTCTTCATTACAGATTTTTGTGATTTTCCTAAATGCCTCAATTTTTTCCCATTTAAATGTAAAATTTCTGACTAAATTTTACTGATTTAACCTAATTTCCATTGTTTCTCTTGAAAGTTTCAGTATTTTTTTTTTTTAGTTCAGTGCTTTGTACAATTAGGTCAATAACATTTAGAAAACATGGCTTAATAGGTGACAAAATGTAGAATACAGATTGACAGCTGTCACAAATATGTATAATATTGGGTGCATCTACGTGATATACTTTAAGGCACATTGGTCTAAATTTAAGGCTCATTGGGGTGCATTTCTATACGTGTGTGCCCTTAATGAGCATTAAAAATTTAGGCTATTTAAGCTGAAATTTAAGACCTGCAGGTATCAAATTTCGGCGCAAATAGTTAAAGCATATTAATGAATGTGTACACATGTTAAGGCACATTAACACTGTGTGTATGGCCTAATTTGGGACTAACTTTTGTCCCAAGTCAATCCACACACAGCATCAATGTGCTTTAATATCTGCACATGTAGGTATTGCAGCCTAAACCCACTTAATGTACATTGAGCTAATATGTGTTAAATTTAGGCCTGCTGAAATGCAGGTGTGGACATGCCCAGAATGTCATATTCAAAGACCTGGATAGTGTTTTTAGTATAAAAGTTTTAGCAGAACTCATTTGAGAGTCCTACATATTAAAATAGATGTACCTTTACCATTTACAGTTATTTTTCTTTAAAACTTTTTCCTGTTCCATATCCTCTCATATGTAGCATTTCTGAGAACAACCGAGCACTTTTGTGATTAAGCCATTTCATATGTTTGAAGGCACATTTGCCCATAATCATACCAGGAAAATCCTAGTAGATGGAAATTACAGTATGGGAGGGATGACCACCTGCCATCTTGCCATCAACCAAAATTAAGGGAAAGAAAAGCATAAAGATGATCCATCCTAACATATCATTCAGGATTTGCAAGTGCAAATAAAATACTCAGAATGTGGTTGAGAGAGATTTAATGATTCTTTGTAAATTATTATTGCTATTTTTTATGTTTATTATGTATTATGTATATTCCAATAGTGATCAGCAGGGATCCTGGTTTTCTCTGATTTAAACAAAATCCTCACTTTTTTGGTTAAAGAAAAGTAACCCCAAATCCACATTTTTCATATATATATATGATATTTCACTGAAATCACAGAAAAATGTGGATTTGGGGTTACTTTTCTTTAACCAAAAAATTGAGGATTTTGTTTAAATCAGAGAAAACCAGGATCCCTGCTGATCACTATTGGAATATATAGTGGTGTTTCATTTTAAACATGGCAAGATGTGGATTTGGGGGGTTTTTTTAACTTGAAAATTGGGGATTTTTTTTTAAATCTGAGAAAACCAGGATCCCTCGTGATCAGGTGCCACATCTGAGATGTGGGCACATTATTATAGGCACTATGCATATGTATGGTAAGAAACAATTCCTGAACAAAAGAGATTGCAAGTTATTATCATTCATGTTTAAGAGATGGATAACTGAATGTATGTGCACACATTTGACAGTGCTGGGAACTATGCTGGGAACTATGCTGGGAACCTGATCTAGTACGTTAGGGTGGGGAAAGGGGCAGAAGGGGTTGGATGGAGGTTAGCAAGTCTGCTGGGCAGGCTGGTGAGTCTGCAGGAGGGAGTTGTTTGTGAGCGTGGGGACTTGGAAGGGATAAAAATATCTTGGTCAGGGTGTTAAGGGGGTAGGAAGAGAGCATCTCTGGGTCTGGAACAAGCAGTTGGGATTTCTCAGCCCCATGGCTGCACTCTGAACATGTACAGACATCTTTTAATTCAAGCTAACCCAAACTTACTGCATCTCTTAAGGAGAACTAATTTAGATTTGGCCAGACATTTTTGCCTGATCTAACCTCCCAAAATGTCTATACAGATCAATATTTAGATTGACCTAAGCTAGTTAGGTCAATCTAAGTGTAATATCTGCACATACCTGGAAGCACAGAGAAATTAATTACCTAAGGTCAAGTAGGAAGTTTGTGACAGAACTGGTTAATGAACCTCAAGTTCCTAAGTTCAAATCTATTCCATTAGCCTGGCTCTTCCTCTTTAAATCAGCCAGAGTATAGCAGAGAATCTATGATAGGAAAAGCAGAACAAAATGGAAGAGAGGTTGGATGTTATCCAAAAGAGTTAAAATCAAAATTACATAACCTTACCACCTTGCACTCTCAGTATCCGCTAACAGTATCTACCTATTTTCCAATACAAAAATCATTTTTTGACTTGGTCTGAAAGGTCATCAAAGTTAGCCTTTTCTGGACAACAGGGAGAAGTGAATTCTAAAGCCAGGACTACATCACTGAGGATAATCTGACCAATGTCCCAAAATTAAACATACTTGATATTCAGCTGAGTACGAGTACTGAAGTGAATAATGGGAAGGGTGTTATCTCTTAGAAAGCCTAGTCCTAAGCATTTTAGGGAATCTGAATATTTTTTTTTTCCATAGAACATCGGTGAGGAATGGCCACATCCATCATAGATGCAATGTGTTATTCATGGCTGTGCAGTGCCTTAACTAAACAGTGGTAACTTCTAAAAATCTGTTCTTCATGATTAAGAATTCCTTTAAATGTATTTTCAGTATTATTTATAGACCCCTTTATACTCTTCTCTTGGTAAACAAAATTAAGCAAGAAGCATACAGATTTACTAATGTACTTTAACATAAGCAGGTTTTTTTTTTTACATTTCACCAAGCAATATTTGTATTTTTTCTCTAAGATTATATAATATTAGTTAAAATATAAGTTGCTTCCAATGGAGAAGGGAGAGGAGGAGGGGATTCACCATGGGCAAGATAAGAAACAGCTAAGGTAAATTTCCAAGGGCAGAAAATGAAGGTCACTGTTTTCTCCATGTAAACAAGTCTTTAAAACCAGCTGCATCTCACATACACTGGTTTTTTTATGGAGAGTTTTATTAATATTGTGCCTCTGAAGCTTCTGAAATTCTGATTTATGTGATGCTAGGCAGGAAACAATCTTTTCAATGGCATTAGTTTTGACATGTATGGCAAGCTTTAATAAATCTTCAGTTTCATAAGGTATTTGTTTAAAGTAAATAGCACACATACCCTCCGAAGTTAGACCACCCACACAAGACAATAACCTTTGAGATGCAATAAAGAAAAAAGAATGGTCACTTGGCAGGAAGTCCCAGTAGAGTAAAGATGCCAACATTTACAGCTGAATCCAAATGTTCAACAGATGGTAAACTGAATAAGGTACAGCTGGAACTATAGCACTATGTGGGGAAAGAAGTACATGGTGAAGAGTGGAAGTTGAAATGCAAAAGAGGAATATTAACAAGGTATCTTGGAACAATAGTGAAACAAGGTCAGTCTAAGTCATATTATTAAAGATTCCAGCTGAGAAAGATAATAGGACCCTGCTGGACTAATTTTGGCTTTAATTTATGACATGACCTTTGGGCACAAAGGATGACATTTTAATATAAGACATTTCTTTGCTATAAGTTAGATTTGTTCTGCTGTAAATTGTCTCAAAAATATTTTGCATGAATATTTATTTTACATTCTGCATGCATATGAAGTGCAAGACACCACCATATCTACTATTTCCACTCGCTCATTCTTTGAAGCTGCTAAATGTAAAAATATTCATAAAAAAATATGATTTACCATAGATTTAAAATTGTATCAATAAGGAATAGTATCTTGAAATTAAAAACAGAGCTGAAATGAGCTGTTTACTAGAGATTACTGCCACAGGCCCATGCTTTCTTATGCCACTGTATTCAATCTCCTATCTGAAGTTTATTTTTGTAACCACTGGCTAGGTACTATTTCCTCATTCCTCAGATGTTTCTCTGTTGCCTGTTACTACAGGGTTTAGAGAAGTAACAGTGTGAAAACGTGATGTGAGACAGTGGGAATAGAGGGTCATCCTTTCTACAGAGGATGCTTCTCTCTGACTTGAACCAAAAGTTTCCAGGAGTTAGTTGTGGTAATCTCTTAATGGCCAGTCACTTCACTGTCATGTCACTAACTGCCTAGGGAAAGGGTAGCTCTGCAAAATCAGAAAGTCAGTGGCAACATAATATGGGAGTTTGTCATGTTGCCAGAGGAGATGGGGAATTGTAATAATCTTCAGGGAAATTCTTCATATTACTCTGAATTCAGTGAGATTTGGAACAGTTTCCCCATTTGTTCATTGCACTCCATCACAACATTGACCAGGCTGAAAGAGTCATGAGATAGAAACACTTGGCTAAATCCTGGACAGATCCCTTGGAGTTCTATAGATTTATACTAATTGAGCTTCTAGCCCATTGGCACTACTTATTGTTCATGTACAAAATTATATATATAAAATTTCCACACAGGGCCAGATTCTGATCTTCAGTTTTGCACACCCACTCAGATAGTTAAGAGTGAAAGTACCAAAATGCAAGTACAAAAGTCAGGTTCCAAAATTGATGCAAACTGCATCCACCAATTTCGGTGACTTCTGAAAAATACTGCAGTGTCTGATTAAATGACAGAAAATAACTCCCTTGTCATTGAATATGAAATGGAAGAAGGAGCAACGGCATGTTGTCTGTTTTCAATTGTCTCAGAGTTGCTATGTTACCCCAATCAAAGACCAGTGCCCTGTTGTGTGAGCATTGGACAATCATGCAATAAAAAGACAGTGCTTATCATTAAAAGATTACAGTGCACCTTAAAGATAAGATGTAACAGGTGGTTGAAACAAATCAATGAGTGTGTGGGGAGGATAATCATAATTATAGCATGAGGGCTACTTAGTCAACAGTAGCACAATCATAAAAGAGCCTTTGCTATACTGTTATTTCAGAGAAAGCATTTAGCTTTTATTTGTTACAGTGTCTGTTCTGAAATGTCTTTTTTTAATTTTGCAGGGGATATACTCTGTGGCAAGGGACTATCTGAATAACTATTAATGCAAAAAGTAATTTTTCTTAAAGTGAAAATGCTGCCAGAATAATGCTAGGTTTTCAGAAATGATTGAAGAGAATTCATTTATGGTCCCCTTTTTGTCTTGTCCTACACAAGTCTTTATAGTGTGCTTATGTAAAGATATTAACTTCCAACTGTTGTTTAGCTGCTGTGATGCATAGGTCCAGAAGGTTTGAATAATGTTCATAAGCATCCACAGTTTGGCAGGCTTGTTTAGCTGAAACTACAAATCTATTCGAAGCTCTCCTGTTATTAAATGTGTTAAGTAGAATTACAATTAGCTGCATACATTTATGGGAAATTAACCTCACAAAAACAGGTACAAAGGTTTGGTTTAATTTTGGAACAGGTTCATAAAAGAGTGTTTGTATTTGTATTAAACAATGCAGGCTGCAATGCTTAATGTTATAAGAGGTTTTAACATAGGTGAATAGTAAAGTTTTAATAAGTATCCCCCTCACTATTTTTAGCTTAACTCACGTTCATAAAAACTGTATTGATTCACATATTTTCAATAGCAAAAGCAAATTACAAAAGAAGAAAAAAAAAAAAGAAAACTCCCATAGCATATATTATGCATAAAATTAAACAACTTTACCCCAAATGATAGTGTAAGTTATCCAAATCAAATAGCAACTCATTATTTCTGTTTTAATTATAACTGAAGGGAGCTATAATTTAATGCATTCCAATCTTTTTTGGGTTTTTTGTTTAGTGCATAGTATAGTTTTAACTTTACTTTTAAACTATGAATGTAAAAATCTCTTTAATTATTGGTGCCCCACTTGAGATCTCACAGTTCTTTCTTAAGTACCAGAGATATTTACAGGGAAAGTGCACTGTCTGCTATGCTGCTGACCTAGTGTGTGATCCTGAGTAAATATAAACTTTTTTATATGAACTTTTTCTACCACTGTTTCTCCAGTTCTGAACTAAGGACATAGGTTACTCCTTTTGGAACGTGCTTTGAGATCTAAGAATTCTGCCATCCAGATGCTATCCAGTTGCTTAGTGTTATCACGATACTGTTTCTGGGTAAAATGTCAACTTTGCATAATATGTAATGATAATAAAAAGGTGGAAGTATTTTTCTCCTCATTCTGTGTAAGACCATGCTAAAATATTTTTCCATTCTGCACGGACTTTATGACCACCTCTGTTCAAGCACTAGAAGAAGGATTAGGAGTCTCAGTTCTCTACCAACACCTGGACAAATTAATTGCAAACAATGTTAGACAGCATTGCCATAAACCCCCCTTAGTTTTCAAGCTAGAGAGTTAAGCAACTAAGAAAAAGATGCATTTAAACCAGAATGTTGTTAAATAAACAGCTAAGATAGCTAAGAGGAAAATACTGAAAGGGAGGGAGCTTTAGGCTCTATTTTTCAAAGGATTCTCTGGTTTACCATGGAAGGAATGGGGGGAAAGAGAGACAGGGCAAGCCCCCATCTTTATTATAGCTAACTGGATAGGGCATTCATTTCTGTGAAGTAGAAGACGTCTCTTCAAATTCCACCTCTACCCTACAACTTAAGAAATACTTGAGCACAGGTCTGCCACATGCCAGTAATTATCTAACCAATGAACTGTAGTGTCCATCTGTCTTTTCTGAGCACTCCTTGGAGTAATTAATAGCTAAACAGTAGATGCAAAATGAGACCACAGCAGGAAAGTTTGAGGAAGTATCACCGTACATGCATGATCACCTTGAGCATGCTCCAGGAATGGGGGGAGGGGCTGCTCTGAGAGCTGTTCTAATTAAAGTGCCTAGAGCAACACATGTATCAGCATCCCCGAGCTGAAAAATGGCAGTGGAGGCACTTTAACTAAAGATTGTCAAACAATTAATTGAGTCTGCTCCCATGAGCTGTAATTACAGTGTTGGAGCAGCTTTCCTCCATGTGCATAGGCATCTCTTGTGTTTGGGACATGTTCTAAGGAAATGTGAGTTCAAGGCCATTTAAAGTTAGGTGAAGAACTGATTTGAAAAGAGAGACATATATTGTACCTTCCAGTTTTGGGACTCACCGTTGGATAAAATGATATCTGTATGAGTCAGCAAGAAGTCTGGTGTGTAGGTGAGAAGTGCTCTAAAACAGCTATTGGATCAAACCCAGCTGGCAAAGGGCTTGGGGGACATTTAATTGGAGCATTTGTATGATCTACAGAACAGAGCAGATTAGTAGCAGCAATAAAAGGCAGTTTTGTACAAACACAATGACAGTGTAAGGGACTGGGGCATAGGTGGTCTTGCCTAATGGTTAGGCCATTGAGGGAAAGCAGGGCCTGGGGCTGGGTCAAAGGGCAGGAGCCATATGCCAACGGCAGAGGGAAATCCAGAAGCAGAGTCCACAACACAGTCCAGGGTCAGGATCCAAGGGTCAGATGCCAAGTACCAATCCAACTGGCAATCCACAGGGCAAAATCCCCAAGCAGAGCAAAACCAGGGTCTGCAGGGAAATCCAAACTGACCTTCTGAAATAAAGCAAAAACAAGGGTCAGGAACCAGGGCACTTCTCACAGCAGAATTGCTGACTGGCTTGCGAAACTAGGGCCTCAGCTCATGCTAAATAGATAGATGTTGTTCTCAGCAGCCAGTCAGGATGCTTGCTTCTCCTAAATGGGGGCAGAGTAGCTGAGGTTTACTGCAAGTGTGACTGCTGAGGTACTTGGCTCAGACTAGTCAGCCTGCTCAAAGTCAGAAAGTTAGGTGATACGGGTATTAATTGTTACTTAGCAATTAAATGGGAATCTTCAGGGTCTTAGTGGGTGTGTCTACACATTCATTAATGCACCCTAATTACTGTGCATTAAATTTAGTACTTGGTTAACCAACTACTAGATCAATGTGCAGTCGGTTGTGCTACTGTGCAGTAGCACCAGTTCGTGGGCTTTTAGCGATGCTTCCTGCGCAGTACGCTATTAACACAGTTTTTGCTGTGCATGCTACTGTGCAATGTTATTAGGCTACTGCACAGTAAGCATCTCATGTAGATGCACCCAGTGATGCTTAGGCATAGGTATCAGAAAGGCAAGTAGATATCTAAGGGCATTTGTAGGCAACACTTTAAAGTGGGTTTAAAGTGGGTTAAATGCCTTTTGCACTGCTTAATAGTGTTGCTGTTTACCCATTTGGCAGCATATTGCATGTTAATTCCAGCTGCTGTAGCACATTCAGTGACGTAATGTCCCTTAAATGACTTTGGGATACAGCAAATGACATTGGGGCACTGCAAACTAAAACAACTCCGAGGAGTTCTAGTTTCCTACCTTACAGCCATGGAGGGAAGCACCGGGCTCCGTGTAGCTCAGGGGCTGTGCAGGCAGCCCAGCAGCAGCCTGAGAAGGCAGGCTTCACAGAAGGGGGAAAAAAAAAAAGCACCGAGCCTGATCTTTCTCCTCCCCCACACTGGAGTCTGCCTGCCTGAGCTGTGTGGAGGCCCGGTGCTTCCCTCCACAGCTGTGGTGCCCTCTAGGAATGCCCGAGCCAGGTGTCTGCAGGCAGGTGCCACCTGGAGGCAGGGGCCACTGCTGCTGCAGAGTAAAGCACCATCCCCTTCACCTCCACCCCAGCTCAGGGACTTCTCTGCCCACTAGCAGCTTGATCTCCCCTCCCCACCATTGGAGAGGCAGGTAAGGATCGAGTGGACACGGGTGGACACAACACAGGGGTTTACCTCACCCAAAATTGAAGCGGTGTTTTTAAAAAAACACCGCTTCAATTTAGGGAGAATTAAACCACCGTGTCATGTACAGATGCCTTAAGAGCCAAAAAAGGGATTAGGCATTGCAGCACCAAAATTTTAGGTGCTCTGCCTTCTGAGTAAAGGCACTGAGTAGAGGTTTTTAAGTTCCTTATGCCAGTGGGAACCAATCTTTTTGGCAGACATGCTACAAATTAAGACCCAGGACTTTCCCAAGTATACTCCAATCCCCTTCTGCTGCCTGAGCCATGACTTTCTGCCCCCTGCTCTGTGCTGCTGCTGCTGATCTGCTTCCTGCCCTATCTGTTTCATGCCCTATCTGCTGCTTTCTGCCTCCTGCCTTATCTGCTGATGTGCTGCCTGCCTCTTCTCTGATCTGCTGCATGCCACAATGCGGAGGCTACCCATGCCATACTTGTAGTAAGTGTTCTACAGGTTGGCCATCCATGCCTTAAAAAATGCCTGTGGAAATTCAGAATCTCAGAATAAGATTTACAATTGCTGGTACTCTTGAGTTGGGCCATTCCCCATACCTATAGGCTGGGGAACTCCCTTCTCAAAAGCACAGTGGCAGAAAGAGATCTTGGAGTCATTCTCAATTCTAAAATGAACATGAGCCGCCAATGTAAGGATGCAGTCAGCAAGGCTAACTGCACCTTGTCATGTATCTACAGATGCATCACAAGCAGATCCAAGGAGGTGATCCTCCCCCTCTATGCAACACTGGTCAGGCCACAGCTGGAGTACTGCATCCAGTTCTTGGCGCCGCACTGCAGGAGGGATGAGGCCAGCATTGAGAGAGTCCAGAGGAGGGCCACTTGCATGATCAGGGGGCAGCAGGGCAGACCCTATGAGGAGAGGCTACGGGACCTGAACCTGTTTAGCCCTCACAAGAGAAGGCTGAGAGGGGATCTAGTGACCAACTATAAACTTACCAGGGGGGACCAGAGGGAAATGGGTTCCCCTGTTCCCCTGAGCACCTCTCAGAGTAACAAGGCATAATGGCCACAAGTTGTTTGAGAGTTGGTTCAGGCTAGACATTAGGAGGTACTACTTGATAACTACCTAGCTAGGGCCATATGAGCTTAAACTTACTAAGGGTCATATGAGCCCAGTATTCATTCCTGCCCAGGGCCAGGGGTCAGACTTGATGATCTGCTCAAATCCCCTATGACCCTACATCTATGAATCTAAGCTAACTGATAGAAATGCCTTTTGGAAACCAAGGCACTCCACTGACATCCTCTTTAGCAAGGTTCTTCTGTCAAATTAGAATTTACAGTTCCAGATCATTTCTTTGAGCTGGGTAATTAACTTATTTATTCCAAAAACAAGATGTAGATCACATTTAAGAGTAGGATCCAAAAATTCAGAACACTGAGCCGGGTGCCATTTAAGCCCACCAATAGAAAATACTAGGAAGAATGTTATATATTACAACATGCTCACATTAACCCAACCTCAGATCCAAATGTGGCATAACAAAAAGCGTGCCAAGTAAGCGTATAGATTTTCAGTAACTTAAAAGTATCAACTATGTAACAAAAGGGCTTGTCATACTTAACTGTAGCAGAGACAGTACTCGCTATAATTTAGCCTGTTTAATCAGGTATTTGCAGAAAAAGCAGTTGCGCCCATGCTCTTTGATTTGTCTAGTTCTTCCACTCTGACATAGAAAAGGCTAATTTTGAGGGCTGGAATACAAAAGACTGAAGATTCCTACCACAGGACCTCATTGTGGTCAGCCTTTACTCTTATGCAATATCATTCTAGCTCCGCTACCTCTACTTTTTTTCATGGACTAGAAGATTTGACAGGAGGAAACATTATGTTCTACAAGGCTGAGCTGAACTATACCTCAAAAATAACATAAATTCAATTAATCTATTGCTAGATGTAATGCAATTTACTATTCCTGTTTTGTTTTATGGCTGCTTTCCCAACATTTTATGAAAACTTTCAAATTGTTGGCCAGAGCAACTGGAGATTGGCCTATACATCTATACTATAGTTGTATGAGGCCTCCACTGAGCACTGCAAATGACTGAGTGACTCATACGTGAATTAATCCCTGCTTTTTTAGAAAAATAAAAATGTACTGTTGATCAGACAAAGATTTGCTACTTTTCCATCCTCTGCCTCACTTAACATTTATTTGGTTCCCTTAGTGCTAAACCTCATACTGATCTTCAACTTCATTCTCTCTCTGTCAGATGCAGATACTTCCAAGTCCCTTTTAATCACCTACAGAGCTAGGAAATATATAAAGTAAAATTGGCTTCCTTGTACATGCATGCCTTATTTAAAGAAGCCGATGGGTGTTTTTTACTGTGGTTGTTTTAATAATAATAATAATCCTTAGCTCTAACAGCATTTTTCATTAGCATATGTGAAACTTTACAAAGAAGGCCGGTCTACTTATTCTCCTTTTAAATGTGGGGAAAGTCAGGGAGAGTAGAAGTGATTTGTCAAAAGTTAGATTTGTTCAACCTCAGGCCTACTCCAGGGCTGTGCCCAGTACAGTTCTTAATACAAACTCTCATCAAGAAAAATAGATTGTTCCCAGGTTCTGGGTCCCTACTTACCCTGGGAAATGCTTTTGGCCACATAAACCTCAGGAGAGGGTTCAAGATTATGAATCCTGAGTAGAGTGATTGTCTTAGCCTCAGAAAGGTGGAATTTAAGACTTATCCTTGTCTTCATTATATCTTATTGGCTAGCCAGGGGTCTCATACCTAAAAAAGTAGGCCCTTTACAGTCTTAGAAGAACCATGCCACACATGGTTCTCAAGTTACTGGCATGAACATGGAACTTACACAAACAGATGAAATTGTCACATTTTTTAAATTTGTGTCCTTTAAATTAGAGTGAAACAAAATTACTGCTTTCTACTTAGCTGTACTAAGACTTCAATACTGGGCTGTTCATTTGGCAGGTTATGCTGGAGCCAGGAACCTGGAAGCCATGGAAACATAGAGTGCTGAGGCGGGCAGGCTGAAGAAGTACAAGGGTAAATTGACAAGATGCCAGGCAGCTTTCAAAACCTGCCAACTAGATGGTATACATGGGGAATGTATCTTTTCTGAAAGAATGTTGTCAATAAAACCAGAACTTCAGAAGCAGCTGGTGCTAGTGCAGAGAGCCCTGGATGAAGCTACTAAACATGCTATGGAGAGAAAAACCTTTGGAAAACTACTAGAAGTAAGTTTATTATAAAACAATAAGCAGAAGTTTAATAACACGTTTTATTAATAGAACCTACTTTTATAACTCTGCTTGATTTCATAAGGCTACTATAGCATCCTTTTGTCCTCACTCTGGTTTCCATAATTACAAATAAATTGAGCCATGTGCTAAATCCAAGGATCCTGAGAGAATGAGTTGGTAAGCAGGTTGGCTTTCAAATCAAGTGCTCATGCTTAATGGCAGCAGCCAAATATGAAGTCCTGTTCCTTATTGGGAAATGGGCTGCACAAAATGTAAGATTGATCCCATACTCTCTTTCTGACAAACATAAAACCAAATGCACAATATTAATATGGTTAGAGACAAAGTCGTTTGGCAAACATTGAGGTTAATGACTAGTTTAAAAATAACTTTAAAATGGGTTTGCTGCGTGATGGAGACCATAGCCCTGAGGTAAACACACAAGCCAATGACCTGAAGGAAGCAGAAGCAGGAGGGGACAACAGGGGAGCCCCTCATATCCTCCTGAGACAGTAGGATAATTGGCTAGTTATCTCAGGTGTCTGTACATGAATGCATGGAGCCTGGAAAACGAGCAGAAAGAATTGGCAGTTCTCGCAAAGTCATGGAACTATGATGAGATTGGAATAACTGAGAATTGGTGGGATAGTTCTCATGACTGGAGCACTGTCATGGATGGGTATAAATGATTTAGGAAGGACAGGCAGGGGAGAAGAGGAAGAGGAGTTGCTCTTTATGTAAAAGAGCTGTATGCTTGTTCAGTATAGTATGAAACTGGAGACAGGCTTCTTGAAAGTCTCTGGTTTAGGTTCAGAGGGAAGAGCGACAAGGGTGATGTCATGATGGGTGTTTGCTATAAACCACCAGATCAGGAGGATGAGGTAGATGAGGCTTTCTTGAGACAACTAGCAGAAGTTTCAAGATCATAGGCCCTGGTTCTCATGGAGGACTTCATTCACCCTGACATCTGATGGGAGAGCAATACAGCAGTGCACAGGCAATTCAGAAAGGTTTTGTAAAGTGTTGGGAACAACTTCCCAATGTACATGTTGGAGAGGCCAACTAGGGCCCATGCTTTTCTTGACCTGGTGCTCACAAACAGGGAAGAATTGGTGGGGAATGAAGAAGTGGATGGCAACTTGGGCAGGAGTAATCATGAGATGATTGAGTTCAGGATCTTGAGAGAAGAAAGGAAGGAAGGAGAGCATCAGAGTAAGGACCTTAAACTTCAGAAAAGAAGACTTGGTCTCACTCAGGAGACTGAAGGGCAGGATAATCTGGGAGACTAGTCTGAGGGGGAAAGGAATCCAGGAGAGATGGTTTTTATTTTAATGAAATGTGACTAAGGGTGCAGGAATGACCCATCTTGATGTGCAGGAAGACTAGCAAGTATGGCAGAAGATCAGCTTGGGTTAGCAAGGAATTCTTCAGTGAGCTAAAACACAAAGGAAGCTTATGAGTATTGGAAACTTGGACAAACTACTCAGGAGGAGTCTAAGAGTATTGCTTAGGCATGCAGGGATAAAATCAAGGAAGGCCAAAGTACAGTTCAAGTTGCAGTTAGCAAGAGATGTGAAGGGCAATAAGGGTTTTTACAAGCATGTCAGAAACATAAGGGATAGTGTGGCTCCTTTACTGACTGTGGGAGGCAATCTAGTGACAGATAATGCAGAAAAAAACTGAAGGACTCAATGCCTTTTACCTTGGTCTTCACAGGCAAGGTCAGTTCCCAAACTATTGCACCTAGAAGCACTGTTTGGGGAGGAGGTGAGCAGCTGATGGTTGCAAAGGAACAGATTAGGGACTATTTACAAAAGCTGGAAATGTACAGGTCCATGGGATTGTATGCAGTGCACTCAAGGGTGCTGAGGGAGTTGGCCAATGTGATTGCAGAGCCACTGGCTGTTATCTTTGAAAACTTGTGGCAGTCAAAAGAGGTCCCAGATGATTGGAAAATGCAAATATAGCTTCCTTGTTTAAGAGAGGGAAGAAAGAAGATCCAGGAAATTGTAGACCAGTCAGCCTCACCTTAGTCCCTAGAAAAATCATGGAGCAGATCCTCAAAGAATCAATTTCTAAGCACTTGGACTAGAAGGTGATTATGAACAGTCAGCATGGATTTACAAAGGACAAGTCATGCCTAACCAACCAGATTGCTTTCTACAATGAGATGACTGGCTCTGTGAATGTGGGGAGAAAAGCAGATGCGATTTACCTTGACTTTAGCAAGGCTTTTGATATGGCCTCCCACAACTTCCCTAGCATGCTTGCAAGAATGTACAGGGTGGATGAATGGACTATAAGGTGGATAGAAAACTAGCTGGATTGTCGGGCTTAGAAAGTAGTAGTCAATGGCTCAATGTCTAGCTCGCATCCAGTATCAAGTGGAGTGCACCAGGGTTAGTTCTGGGGCTGGTTTTGTTCAATATCTTCATCAATGATCTGGATGAAGTGCACCCTCAGCAAATTTGTGAATGACACCAAACCGGGTGGAGTAATTTATACACTGGAGGACTGGCTAAGCAGCAGCTCTTCAGAAAAGGACCTGGGGATTACAGTGAACAATATTTTGAATACAAGCCAAAAGTGTGCCCTTGTTGTGAAGAATGCTAATGGTATACTGGGCTGCATTAGTATGAGTGTTGCCAGCAGATCAAGGGAAGTTATTCTTCCCCTCTATTCGGCACTGGTGAGGCCAAATATGGACTACTGTTTCCAGTTTTGAGGCCACCACTACAGAAAGGGTGTGGACAAATTAGAGAGAGTCCAGTTCAGGGCAACAAAAAGGGTGAGGGGGATGCGGGACATGACTTGTGAGGAGAGGCTGAGGGAACTGGGCTCTTTAGTCTTTAGAAGAGAAGATGGAGGAGGTATTTAAGCCTTTGAGTTCCTGACAGGTGGTTAACAAAGAGGATGAAGCTAGACTGTTTTCAGTGGTGGCAGATAACAGAACAAGGAGCAATGGTCTCAAGTTGCAGCAAGTGATACTGGAGTCTGCTGGAGTGCGGTAATTACCACACTCCAGCTGACTTGATTAAGCATATTGAAGCAGCCTTGCTGCACATGTATAGGGGCCCAATGGTTCCATTTCACCTCGGAAATGTTTGTGTCATTTCAGGTGCTTAACAGTTGCATTGTGGCCATAAAGTGAATGCATGGTCTTTTCAACCTGTCATGATCATTCCATTTTTCAGGTAACCATGTTCCTGATGCCCAGTGGAACAATTTCAGTAAGCACATCCAGGCTATTGACATTTTGTTTTACATATTCTGTAATGCAAAAGCAGCAGTCATTCTGCTCAGAGCCCAACTTTATACAAGCTTATCTTTCTCATATGAGACATCCATATTCAGCTACTGGAAAGCAAATGTTGAATTGGCTTCCAACTTTGTTTGTACGTTGTCCAACTTTGTTCCAGGTACTAATTTTGCCTTTTTTTTTTAACTTCTCCATTGGTGTCTTCAAGGAGAGTTCTCTATGGGAGATTTCAATCTCAAGTATTTGGCAAGTTCTGAGGAAAAATTGTTTAACCATTTTTTTTTTTTTGAGGGGAAGGTTGACCAGGTCTAAAAAAACAAAATTGGCAAATTTTCCTTTCTTGTTTCTGTATGCTGTGAATGCATTTGGACTGTTCTGCATGATGTATCAACCCCCTGTTATGTTGTTACATTGATTATAAACGTAATTTTTTACCACATGAAAAAACAAATCTCCTGCTATATAGCAGAATAGCAAATGAGTCCTTAGAACTAACAACACAATAGCAAACTTCTGTGCAATTCCTACAGTGCTTAAATGAAAGGAAGGGACTTTGAGGTCTTGTGGCTAAAGTACTGAAAAAAGGCCTTAGAAGGCAAGAACTAATATTGCAAGCTCCTTCACTAATTTCCTGTTTGACCTTGGGAAAATCCTTTATGGCCTTTTAGAGGTATTGAGTACTTGCAACTGCTACTCACTTGAATGCCCAGTCCTCAAAATCTAGCCATTAATCTCTCTGTCTCTCCCTTTGTCATTTGTAAAATGATTTACAGCACTCTGGTATTTTTAAGATACATCCATCAATTTATGTGATTCAGAGTCTGTCAATAAAGAGAAAATAATTAGGGAAAATAGCTTTTTTAAACAAATATTTTTTTTATGGCAGCACTGGTACCACAGTAGCATTTCTAACCAAATTAACATCATATTTAGCAATTCTCAGATAAATCTGGAAGTTGAATGCTGCCCTCATAACATTAATACTGTTATTATTGTGAAAGTCAAGAGAATCCATGATAATTTATTATGTTTAAAAAACAAAACCTAAACATTGTCTATACTTCCTTCTTTGATGGTGGGTTTCTGTCAGATATTTTAATAATGTGTTTTCTAAGACTATGGGATAATCTACTGGAGTATAGAGCCCTACTTTTGCAAATAAATTTCTATAAATGTAAAAAAAAAAATCCATTTTCAAGAGTTTAAAATACTTAGTTAAGGTAATGTTTATATTTCTAAGCCTCTGCAGGAACCTGTTGATAGAGGATTACTTCCACATATGCCAATTGATTCATGCAGGTGTGCTTTCAGAGTTTCATGCCGAGGCTTAGGATGTGAAAATGTGGAATGTGGAAATTGCATAAACTAGACTTCTTTTTTCTATCTCTATTGGCTATATACACATCACAATTTTTAATGAGTTTATTATCTTAGCAGTCCTATCAGATAGTGAAGTCCTGCTGCAGGCAAGAGAAAGTCAAGGGCTCAATTCGTGGAAGTACTTGGGAGTTTGAAGTGGGCCTTAGGTAAAATTCAGACTCCTAAGCATGTTACTAGATTTTGCTCTAGTCTTTTTAATCCAAGTGTCACAGTACAGAAATGCAAACCACCACCTCCTAGTTCCTCATCCAATACCCAAAACATCACAAGTACTTAAGTTTTCTCTAGTAATGCACCCTAGGTACATAGACTACAGCTGCTCCACATACACCATCTTAGCAGGGTTGAGCATTTTAGGG